GCCTCCGTTGGACTTCACGGAGCGGACGGCGCCCCCCTCCGGCCCCCCTTCCGGCCCTCCCCCGGCCCCCCTTCCAATGGGCCGATTGGGGGGGCCGGGGCCTTCCCTGAGGGCCCCACCGCCCCACCCCGGGCCGACCCCATGGGGTCATCCAGCGCCCTCCGGTGGAGGGGGAGGGCAGGAGGATGAGGAGGCTTGCGAGTTGCGCAATCCTTTCTTGTCTCGTTGGGCTTAATGGTGCGGATAGTTCGATTCCCATGGATGGGTTCGGATATATGGTTTGTCGCTTTTGAAAAGGATGAAGTTGTCGGGTAGGAAAAATGCAGGTTTAAATTATTTAATTTCTGATGGTTTGTGGAAAGGATGTGTAGGTGAGTGAGGGTCTTGGGGGAATTTTAGATCATCGTTATCTTATTAATGTGGGGTTTTAAAACAGTGTTTTACCGAGGATGCAGTAGACGTTTTTTTTGTCCCACTTTCCTTAACGCCTTTTCCTAAGAGTCCGATTCTACGGAAGGGTCTCATAGGTGTCCAAACTCCATAAATAGAAACCATGACAGGTAAAGCATATATCGCGGAGTATATACTCTGAATCGACCTTTGAATAAGTTAATTATCATGTCTTCGATGTGCTAAGTATTTATTATGTCGTTGTTTTTATTTTTAAATAGACCCTATGTAGCGATAAAAAAACGGGGAATATTCACATTTGTACATTCACTTGATTTAATCACAGAAGCTTCTGATTTATAGTAAAATGAGTTTGTGAGTTAGATGCCTTTTCATCACGTATATTCGAGACTTTTATTGAGGGCGAAAATAAATCCGTAGAATTACAAATTGTTAAAGTTTTTATCTCTTTCTAAACCTTGTATTTTTTGATTTTCTTCACTTTATATCCACACCTATATTTTCATATTAAGTGAGTAATCTTACATTTAACTACAAGATTGCTACCACCACTAAAGGTTAGACACACGCTATATATATATCTATATATATATATATATATATATATTTATACAAAAATTGCTCTTATTTTTATTATTATGGATAAACGTGTCGATCCAGAGTCTTCTTGGCGTGTCCTCTTCAATATTTCCCTAAGTCATGGTGAATGGATTAAACTTCAAAAGATAGCCTACAAAGGCTTTCTTACTTTTCTTCGATCCGCAAATCTCTTGAACTCTCAAAACGGTGTCTCTCTCTTGCTTGTTGAGCAACTGTGGTGGAAGCATCGCGTCATGGCTCATCCCTTAGCGATTCCCATGCCAAACTTCTTGATACATACTAGCAGGACTAAATCAGTTACACAAGAAGATTATTTCAAAAACAGAGAAGAAGTTTACTCTCACGGATTGCTGAATTTTGAAGGCTTTACAGATATCATGAATGTCATTAGTGTGCGTTGTTATCAAACCCGGAAATGTGCACACCTTCATAGAGAGGTTGGGGAGAGTTTAAAGGATGCCATCATTCTTTCCTCTGAAGATTGCGTAGGCCTCGAGGAATGTGTTGCCTACACAGCTAAGCATTGTCTTAAGTTTTTTATATATCGAAATTTAGTTCATCGAAGCACAAAAATCCTACTTGATCCTATGCAAAATGAATGGACGATTCAAACCAACCATGTTGTCCACCATATTGTCAATAATCTTCAAGACACAATCATTGTACCACTTTTCGAATATTACAGCGGTAATTCTGGAGAAATGAATCGCTCTCAGTTTGAGAGATTTGTCAAGGATGCCTTTCCTGAATTTACTGAAGTTCAGAAGTCCAGCGCTTTTTCCATTTTTTATTTTAATATAAATCGCAAGGAACGGTATGGATGGGTCGACAACTCGGACACAGATGGTAATAGTGCTCCTCTCGTTTTTGGGCTCGACTCGTTTGTTGATGCGTTGTTAATGTTGTCTGTTGTAGCCTTTTCTGATGAATCGCGGTTCCCTCACCACCTTTCGATCACTTCCAAAGTATGGTCTGCTTTCGAGTCCTACTTATGCCCAGCCATGACCAAATTAAGTGTGTCTTATCGATCGAAAAGTGTTATTGCACCCAGTATGGCCACGGATCCCCTTTTTCTAGACAGCGCAGCCTCAGCCGTTGCGCATGTAAGCTGCGTTTTCCCCACATCGATTCCAGTAGATGATATTTCCTCCATTCTTATAGGTGGGGTCAACATCATGATCGATCCTGCCTACATTGTACCTGAGGGATCTCAGCACTATGGGATTGGAACTTTGGCGACAGAAGCAAACCCAAATAGACAATCCGGTAAACCGATCTTCAGACGTGTGGTGAAATTATTAAAACCCCTCCCTGCATCTGTGCTATCCGATGGAAAGGACACAACTTTCTCAAATATCCAGGATGAAATTCAAGACAAGATGGAAGAGGCAGTGACGAAAAAATCAGCTGTTTCTAGCTCTTCTCTGCAATTTCCAGGGGTCGATTTTTTTATTACATGTACCAATTCAACTTTTAGTGATACAAAAATATCCCCTGGAACGAACCATAGTGGGAATAAAGTATTACTGAAGAATATAAATAAAAAGTCTTTGGTTAATACCGAAGAGGTGCCTTCTGCGGGTTCTGTTTTGTCGACTAACCCTCCTAACCATATCTCGAATTTATACTCTCCATACTTGGACGACGAGCGTTGTTTATGCATGAAGTACGCGCGAAACAGGGTGGAGGTGCTTCTCCACGAAAGTGTAAGAAATATGCGTTTATTTAAATTAGCGATTATGTATAAAAAAGGTGAAAACATCAGAAGTGACAGAAGGAATACAGTTTCACCATCAAATCAGAACAGAAACGATTACTTTCAGTTCACACCTATCCGTCAGATGTCCTTTTCACTACGGGATACCACTGGGAAGCGTATCTTCACCTCCAAGACAATCGTTCTAAAAGCAACTAGTACACGGCGACCAGTTCCATCTCCTGTTTTGCACATACTTCAAGAAGCTTTTTACCAGAAAGCGAAGCCCGAAAATATAATTTCAGACGTGCCTAATACGAGCACGCCTTTTATTACGATGTCCGATTTCGAAAATATATGCTGTCGCCTGCGCTTAACACCCGATGAGGCATTGACAACAGTGGAGTGCCAACATGCCGTGAGAGAGTCTGTCAATGCTTCTTTTCTATTATCGGGGAGGCAATCGGATGATTCTGATGAGGATCCTATGCAGTACATTGTACAGGGTGCCTGGGGGAAGGTTCGATTGAGCTTTTCTCAGTTTATGGAGGCTGTGGCGGCCCTGGGTCTTCGTACACGAACATTCATGTCGGCAGACAGCGCTTCAGATCTGATAAACTTTCTGATGCTTGTCCTACCAACATCGGATTTATTAGCAGGAGAGGGTCAGACAACACTCACTCAAACGGATGGCATCTTAACTTCCGAGTTCGCACTGCCTTCAATAGAACCCAAAACCAAAAGGTCAGGTTCAACCATTTTACCCTACAGCTCCAGACTGAATGGCCAGCTCAAGAATGTCTTGAATCATTGCAGACGCCAAACATTTGCTTCAAGGCTAGATGCAATGCATCAGGCTTTGAAGCGACCCCCAAAGGTAATGCTTCCTGGATATCCTAGCGATGTGTTGGGGGAGGAAGCCCAACCTTTCTCCTGTAGGCTAAACCCTGATCTTCACGAAGCCTCTGAAATACTCAAGAATGAGTTCTTGATGAAAGAAGTTACACTCACCACTGACGGGAATGGTCATTTATTATAGAATTTCGACAGCAAAATGCTTTATTCTATAAATATCTATATAGTGCATTGCCCTTTTCATTATTTTGCCTTTTTGTAATTAGTACTGTTAATTATTTTGAAATGTAAACTATATGTGTATTTTTTTCGGCTTCTTCAAAACAGGGAAAAATATCTTGATACTAAAATGTAAATCGACTTCTCATAATATGATATAATGGACTGTATAGTAATCTATGATTAATCATCTTTTGCGTGTTCAGAGTCATATATTTTATAAAATGAAAGGTGTATCTTAGACTTTTTTCAAAAAAAATCGTGTGTCCCCTAGACTATCTTTTTTCGTTTATATTTTTTTGATGAATAGTCTCAAACCTGAGGGGTTTATCTTTCAAGTAACTTCCCACGAGTGTATTTTTCTCAACTGACTAAGTATCTTTATTTTATTTCCCATATAGTGTTCCACAGTTGCATTTCTTTTGCATGCATTGTAAGCAATGCAACTTAACCAACGAAAATTGATCAGCGAACGACATGCTTTACTGGTCTACCTTCAGCAGTTGACAGCCTCCGGTTCGCCCATAGAACAGAATAGACTCATAAAAAAGATCAGTGGAATCGACCCACGTATTTCAGAAGAGTACCTTCCACAGATAGTGCATGCCAGTTTTGTGCATCCAAGCACGACCGTCCGTGAAATGCTACGAAATATTATCTTGTCCCTTGTAGGGGCCTCATTGTACGTCGCTCTACGGGTTTCGTGGTTGACCATTTCTAATTTCTCCTCTTTCGAGTCCTCCGATATGGCGGAGTCTGTTAAGCAGTTTCAAGACAGTGTCGAGAGCTACGCCATTAATCGAGTAATGAATGAGAAGGGATCTGTCGGGCCCTCTCCGTTAAGTGAGGTCACTGAACCGATCTTTGATCCGAGTCATGTTCTGCAAAAAGAATTTCGACTGAAGATATACAACGACGAGCATTGGTTTGTAAATACACTGACAAACCTTGGAAGTCAATTATGCCACTTAGCAGATCGCAAGCGACGCAGCGGCGAGCTGCAGAAGTGTCTTTTGTATCTCAATGAGCGAATACACTATATGAGGCTGATTCATCCAATCGGTTCTAGTACAGACCCCGTGCGATGGATTGTCAACATCGTAGTTGATGAGTGCGTTGTGTTTTCCTCACGCGAGCGTGCACCATATTTAATTCGATACGAGGTTTTAGTAGATGATACTGCCACCATGCAAAATCCTGCTCAATCACAAATGCGTCTTCCAGATGGTAGGTTCAAGGTACGCCCCACATCGGATGAAATCTTTCTACCTGAAAGTCTTGTCCACAGTGGGATGGAGCGGGGCTCGACGATGCCTTCTCCTCAGTCATGTAATGCAAAACTCAAGTCTCCAGCTGTAGAGTTGCGCCACGCGGAGGAAAAATCAGCCGATTCGGATATATCCTTGGCGAAGTGTTTCGGGGAAACTCTAGAGAAGCTGAAGGCGCGCATACGACCCACCTCACCCTGGGGGGCTCATCCGAAGTGGGACATGCATGCGATGATCGTAAAGGCAGGGGATGATTTGCGTCAGGAAGAACTTGCGATGCAATTAATTTACACGATTTCAACTATTTGGAAGGAATGCGGCTTGACCTGCGCTGTTCATCCTTACCACGTGATGCCGACGAACGTGCAGTGCGGTTTGCTTGAAGTCATCGACGATGCTAAATCGATTGATAATTTGAAAAAGACATGCCAATCTTATTCATTGAGCCATATTTTTAATGCTGTCTTTGGTGGTCCTGACTTAGCGGTCTATCTCCTCGCTCAGAGGAATTTTGTTGAAAGTATGGCCGGTTATAGTGTTATTTCCTATATTCTGCAACTGAGGGATCGTCATAATGGAAATTTGATGCTATCGCTGAATGGGGGGTTGATTCATATTGACTTTGGGTTTTTATTAATGACCTCACCAGGGGGACTTAATTTTGAGTCAGCCCCCTTCAAGTTGTCCCAGGAGCTCATTGAAACAATGGGCGGGCAGGGCAGTGACGCGTACGGTTACTACAAAGTTCTAATTTTCCAAGCCCTTAACGCGGTTCGTGAATTTTCAGACGACATCATTGCATTGATTTCCTTAATGGTCCCGAAAACCACTCTGCCTTGTCTTGGCGGTGATCCTCGAGCTGCTCTTTCGAGGATACGTGGTCGATTGCGTTTCGACTTAACTTCAGAGGTCGATTATGCACTTTACGCAAGCGACTTGATCGCAAGCAGTGCGGACAACTGGCGTACTCGTCGCTATGATCAATTTCAAACCCTTCAAAATGGTATCTGGTAAGCAGTGCGAATAATATCAAACGTTAAAGACAGAAGTGAAAGACTCCCCCCAAAAGTGCAAATATTCCCAAAAAGCTATACTTTACTATGGTTACACCTCATATTCCTATTACACTTATTCCTCATGTTGGTATCTTAAGTTGTGTGAAAGGAGACGTCGATCTTTTCTCTATCTTTTAGCAATCGACTGGTGAAATGGTTACTCGGTTGTGAATTCAAGCTATCATTGCTATTATCTTATTTCCTTATCTTGATTAAGGAACATAAGTCTTGTACAATTGCTTCTTATTTATGTAATATCTGAACATTTTATTTACATTAAAAAAAAAAATGACTGTCTATATAGTTAATAAGTGTTATTACTTATTGTCTTGTTTTTACTTGATTAGTTTTATGCTTAGAAAAATAGAGTAAGTTGAGATTAAAGGTCGATAATAAATAAATACATTCATTATAATTTATTAGTTTTTAAGTCGCACCTTGATCATAACCAATAGTGTTTTATTATTATTTTATTTTGTGCCAAAAAAGATCGTGATATGAACACGAATGGTAAGCTCTATGAGCCAAAGAGTGGTGCGTCTGTAATTTGTTTTGGCCACCCATTACTTGATATGATGGCGAATGTAGACCAAAGTTTCCTACTGAAGTACGAAATTCAACCAGGCAGCGTCAGTTTAGCTCGACCAGAACAGCTCCCACTCTTTGATCATCTCCTGGATGGCAATCTGAAGGTAGAGTATGTACCTGGTGGATCAGCTATGAACACTGCACGGACGTTTTCATGGGTTCGACCTGATGCTCATGTGTCTTACATCGGTGCCCTCGGAAAGGATAGATTTTCTAGCATTCTCAAGATGGCACTTTCTCAAGCTAATGTAGAGCCTCTCTTCGAGGAGCACACCACAAAGCCCACCGGCACATGTGCAGGACTAGTTTTTCAAAAGGAGCGCTCTCTTCTTGCCAACCTGGGGGCCGCCGTGGAGCTGTCCTTACAGCACTTTAAACATCCCGATGTCCAGCGCAGCATTCGGGATGCTTCGTTGTACTACGCCGAGGGCTTCTTTCTGAACACCGTCTCCAGTCCGCAAGGATTACTCGCGGTTGCTCAGCACTCGAAACAGTATGGGAAGATTTTCTGTCTTAACCTCAGCGCACCTTATATTTCTATAGCTTTCCGAGATCATATTGCTGCGCTTATGCCCTTCATTGATTATATATTTGGAAGTGAGGAGGATGTGTTGGCCTACGCCGCGGCGCGGTGGCCGCAAGAGTTTGGTACCGCACAACACGCGGATCAGGATTTCTACATTCGCTCGGCGGTTTCGAAAATCTCGCTGATTCCTTCTCTCACCGGCAAGCGTACGGTCATCGCCACGCGTGGGGCGATGAGCACCATTATCGCTTGCGGTGAACGCATTTTGGAGGTGGAGGTGGCACCGATACCAGAAAATGAAATTGTCGACCTTAATGGGGCCGGTGATGCCTTTGTGGGTGGGTTTCTTGCACAACTGATGACATCGATAGACAACATTGATGCTGATCATCTTATTCGTAGTGTCTCGATTGGGCACAAGGCTGCCCAGAATTGCATACAACACAATGGGGCCACATTGGGTGGACATCCACCAGCCGTAGAAAGCACTTGATCCCTTTGATTAAGACCAAAGAGAGTGTTGTAAAACGCTTGAATACGTCTCAGCGTGCCAATAGTAGATAAATACTATTGTAATTTAATCGTTCCTTATAAGTTTTACACGGTATTACTTTTTTCCCTCTATATACATCGTATGATACTTTCTTTCTCTTCTAGTCTTTGTTGGTGGAATTAGGAAAATCATTTAGTTAATATTGATATTGTTGAACAATTAAATAGGACAGAGCTTATGGTATATTTTCATACCAACTGTCTATCACGCACATTTTCCATCGTTCTATATACACTTCAATTGGACAATCTTTATCTTGGCATCGCTTTCGCTAATGAAATACTATTAATGATGTAAGTAAAAATACCTTTTCCCTACTGTAAGCAGCCTAATGAATGCATATATATTCATCTGAATGAAAGTATTTGAATATTTAAAATGGAATATTTGTCCTTTTCGTTCATTCTTAAAGTTGTAATTGCTGATCCCAGAATCTATGTTTTATAGAAAATTGCAGGCAATTTTTATCAACGATTTGATGAACTCAGATACCTTCTGTTTTATTCTTTGCTTTCTTTTTTTAGTGTAGAAAGAGTTTGAGTATTTTTCTTATTTCCATTACTTCACTGTTTTGTTCTTGATGTCTAAATCTCTACATATATTTTATGAGGCCTAGTCAATTAAATGGATAATCCTTTACAATGCTTCTGATTATGAATATTTGTATTTACAGTATGTTCGTGATTTTCGTAAAAAAAAACAAATGGACCTATTTATTGAAAAGTGATTTATTTTTCTTTCTTTCTTGTGGAAAACAATATCTCATTCATCTCCACGTGTTAATCATCTCCAACGCACTAATAGGTAAGAAAATACTAAAAAGAACAGTACAATTATAAGATTAATGCAAACCAGAACATGAACAAAGCGAATCACTCTACTTTAGCATGGCTTACGCACGTTTCTGAAAATCCCTATCGCTCTCAAGTGTTCTCCTGGTACCGAAAGTGTCTGAAAGCCGCCTTCACAGTTTCATGGGAGAAAGATGAGGACGCGTTATACGTACTCGAGGAAACGCGGCGACTATTCTATCAGAATCGCCAAATTCTAGAAATTGAGCGTATCGAACGAAAACTTCGCGAGGTTGAAATGCGTTATGGATTGGCAATCCACTACACAATCCCCTACCCCCGTCCTTTCAATAAAACCCAAGGATCGATGGCGGACAGTGGAGCGTCCTACGCTGCCTACCTCGACTCCTCCTATGATCACGCTGTGAACCCGATGGTGGGGTATATTCAAGAGGGTAGCAGGAACTACGGCGTGATGGGGGGAGGTGTGAGCCATTTGGATGATTACTTTGAAGATGGTATTGGGTCAGTGGATAAGGTGGGGAGTGTGGGGCGATAGGCATACCGAGGGCCAATTCGGTATAGGACCTTCTGTGTTCGCCACGTTGAGAAATCCCCATCATTTGGCTCCTCACCCGTTAAGCATATCGAAGACAATGAGGACATTTTTTTTTGTAGTATTAGTAATTCAGTGCTGATTACTTGTTGAATATCACTAGGAATATATGATTAGAGCGAATTCTGATGTACAGGTTCCATTACATTACCGCGCTTTGGCATAGATTCACCTATATGTATGTGTAGAGGTGGTGGTGATATACCCCAATATGCTCAAAAATCATGAAAATCACATAGATCTATATATATGCTGTCGGTTTTACCTCCTGTCAAAGTATTTACCTGTCCCTATTTTTTTTTCATTGTCAGCTTTTACATATTTTTGGTATTTTATGTTTGTCGGTTTTAACTCTCATTTTTCCAAAATCATTTGTGCTTTAACCATCTAGATATTTAATGTGATAAATCTTTATCGCTTTCTTTCAATTTTACTTATCTTTAGGTAAAAGGCAATTTCAATAAAAATTCTGATCTACAAATTTATTACGCCTAATAATATTTAAGCCAATGTTTTTTTCAAATTCTTTTCCTGTATTTTATTATGTACGCTTCTTTTCCATGCTATTCAAGGAGCAGCCCTTTGGCAAGTAAGCCTCTTCTCTGATATCCATTACGACCCATATTACGGCAAGTCGAATGCGTTTTCTCATTGTAAATCAAATTCGAATAGTCTTATTGGCGAACGAGGTTGTGATTCTCCTAAGGCTTTGATGGATTCTATGGTAAACGACATATCGAACCAACACTGTGATTTTACACTATATGCTGGTGATTGGGAACGCCACAAGTTCACTGAGGACCTAGATGCAGATGTACTTTTTACTGATATGAAAAATTCCTTCTCTGCTATTAAAACCCTCAATTTACCACCTGATAAGAGCTTTATCGGTGCATTGGGAAACGAAGATATGACTCCGAATTACAACTTTGATGTATTCAAAACTAAACATGATCATTTGATAGAACGCGTTAGCATTATGAATAATTCTTTACTCTCGCCTGAAGAGGCTAATGAGATGGTTAAGTGCGCGTTTTTTGCTCGTCATCTCGAGACTGTCACCTTTATCAGCCTTCATTCTCTTATATGGTCAACCACCCTGAAACCACGTCTTGCAGATAACGTGACTGATCCCTGCAACCAATTTGCCTTTCTGGAAAAAGAGCTTGAACTTGCGAAGAAAAACGGCAAGAAGGTGATAATAATTGCTCATATCCCCCCGATTATGGATACTTATGTTGTGATCCTAAACGGTAAATTTACAAATTCGTCTAACGACATGCTATGGAAAGAGAGTTACTACAAAAAGTATATCAAACTCATCTCTGCCTACAAAGACACCATTTCAGTCCAGATTTTTGGACACTTGCACTTGTTCTATTTTCTCTGCTTCCCGGAAATTGTAACCCCAACTTTTGTGCTCCCAGCCATAACTCCACTCTCTGGAAACGTGCCTTCCTATTTACTAGCCACCTTTTCGGATTCATGGGAGATAACTGACCTCAACCAGCGCACCCTGATTGGCAACAAATGGCACAATACAGTCAATGTTAAGGGAGTTTTTGGGAGTGTCGATGGGTTGTACAACCTAAATAAAACTCGAGAGCGAATCAAGGACTTTTACACAGACGACAGAGCGTGGCTAGACTATTTACAACTTCACAACGGTGGTGAGGCCACAAATAGGGTGTTTCGTGAAATAAAACCGAGCTCGTTTTCTCGAGCCGTGACTGTCTGCAGTTCACTCAGCGGCAACTATGATACCATCAAGGGATGTGTGAGTGAACTGATGGCCAAGAAACCTTTGACCTGCCATAACACAAACTTGAAAACTTTCCTTTTAATATTTTTACCGATTGCTAGTGGGATTATTATTACATGCCTCATCATATTAATCATTTGTGTCGCCAGAAGACACTCGACTCAAAAAATTATTAAGGATACTGATATCCCTGATATGATTGTGGAAGGACATGCTACTGGCGTACATTCTGAATATCTTGATGAAACAAACTTACAACCGAATGCAGATTTTAACCTAAAACGTTTTGACGAGCGAGCATAAAACATAGAGAATAAAATATAAAATAATCACTGTGTTTATATAAAACAGCACTATATGCTGTAGAAATAGCTAAATAAATCTTTGAATTTAAGAGTGAATAAGTATTTTTTAAGTAACTGATAAAATTATTATTCTCACTATATTGAAATTCAGGGATATTTAATCGGGTATATAAATGAATATTCGAATATTTTAATATATGGTACTTTATGAGCGAATATTATTTTGGTAAATAGTGATTGTAAATAATAAAGTCGAATATTATATATTTATATAAAAATGCTTCCGTGCAGTAGAATTATTTCTATTTTAATTTCGATGAATCTATGCATATTTTTTTGTTTATATTCATAAATTTTGATGCAAGTGAAAAAAATGATTATTAACTTATGGTAAAACAACTTCGTTATTTTTATCTTAAAATTTAACTAAAAGTCGAAAAATTTTTGAGGGCCATGATTTTATCATTCCCTTTGGTGTTTCTGAGTTCTTAGTGCTGTGAAATTTTACTAGACTTCTTTTTTAAGATCGGAAAATAATTAACGCATAATACCGTTATGGAAAGCTTAAATACCTACAATGAAAACACACTTTGAGAGATGAAGGGTTTCTGATTTAGGATGTGTTATTTTTTCAGTCTTGATTTTTTTTTTTAATTATATCGATAAAAACTTAGCGTATATATATTCCCAAAACCCTTTACGAATTCCTTAAGTTTATGCGTCTTTCCGATATCAGGAACGTAGAGCTGACTTTTTTTATACTCTCTACGCACACAAAACAAAAAAAATTCTATCTTTATCTTAAACTAATATTCTTCTGACCCTTAGCCTCTGTGTAACCGCATATTTTGTCTTTATTTTCCCTTATGGGTACTCTCCTTGGTCATGTCCCCCCCCCCTTTTTTTTACTTTTACAGCTCATTTCATCAAGGAATCATGGTCCACTCCTACGGTTTGAAGAGCGGCACCCGCCATTTGTTTGCGAAGAAGTTCCGCAAGCATGGCATGCCCTCCGTCTCGACCATCCTCACGAATGTGAAGGTCGGGGATTACGTCGACGTCGTCGCGGACGCCGCGGTGCGGGAGGGGATGCCCCACAAATACTACCACGGCCGCACCGGCATCGTCTGGAACGTCACCCCCCGCGGTGTGGGCGTGATTGTCAACAAACCCGTCCGCACCCGCACCCTGCGCAAGCGGATTTGCGTGCGCTTTGAGCACATTCGCAAGTCCCGCTGCCAGGAGGCCTTTAAGCAGAAGGAGCGCGACTTCCGCGCGTTTCGGGCCGCCCAAAAGGCCGGCAAGCCTCTCCCGGAGCCGAAGAAAAGCACCCGCATGGGCGGGTTTGTGCGGCCGAAGAACGTCGAGGTGCTCGCACGCCGTGTTTCCGACTACGATGCCTATATGCCCTACTAAAGGAATGGCGCGTATCGCACTGAGCAAGACGAAAGCGAATGGGTATCTACACATGCATCACGTAGGACATGGAAGTTGCTGCCATGAAAGAACTGAGCGATGACTTTTCCTTATCTAATGATGGGTTATTTTTACTTTAGTGTTATTAAACAACAACAACAAGATGGTCATGTAGGATAGGTGAAAATGCTGTGCATACTTATCCTGCTATCCCTTTGTGTTTAAGTGATTTCTGTCGGATATATTTTCCATTTCACCCAACAATTTCCTATGCTGTCTATTCCTTTCAAAGGTAGCATTTTTAAACACTGTTAGACGACATCTATCCACATCGACTCCACTTTATCCATTCCTACAAATTGGGTCCTATTACCACACTTCGTCCCAGAACCTCCCACGACATCGCCCATCGAGCGATTGCGTTTCATCCTTCCCGTACCTGTAACAGACTTCACAAGTCCACCTCAGAGACATTCCATCCATCCAGGACAACCCCTCCCCCCCCCCCCTCCCCTCTCTCCCCTCCCCTCCTTTTCCCTCTGCAAAACTCACTATGGCACGGGATGCACACCCCTTTGAGGCGGAACGGCGGCTCGGCGCGGTAAAGGCGGTTTCCGGCCCCGTCGTCATCGCGGAGCGGATGAGCGGGAGCGCGATGTACGAACTCGTGCAGGTGGGTTCATTTCGTCTCGTAGGGGAGATCATCCGTTTAGACGGCGATACCGCGACGATTCAGGTTTACGAGGAAACCGGTGGGCTGACGGTTGGTGATCCGGTCTACTGCACAGGCAAGCCGCTTTCGCTTGAGCTCGGCCCGGGCATTATGTCGGAGATCTTTGACGGCATCCAGCGCCCGCTCGAGACGATCTACCAACAATCACGGGATATTTTCATCCCGAAAGGAGTCCAGGTGCCCTCGTTGGATCCCACGAAGCAGTGGGATTTCACCCCCCGCGTGCGGGTGGGGGACCTCGTGACCGGAGGAGATATCCTCGGCTCTGTCGTTGAGAATTCATTAATGCAGAACCACTCGATTATGGTCCCGCCGAACTACAAAGGGCGGGTGGTTTCGGTGGAGCCAGCAGGAAATTACACCCTGGAGGATGACATCGTGGAGATCGAGCATAATGGAAAGACGCGAAGTTTGCGGTTGATGCATCGATGGCCGGTGCGGATGCCGCGCCCGGTAGCTTTCAAGGAGTCTGGAAATCACCCTCTTCTTACCGGGCAGCGCGTTTTGGATGCGCTTTTTCCGACGGTTCAGGGCGGCACCTGCGCGATCCCTGGCGCCTTTGGATGCGGAAAGACCGTCATCAGCCAGGCCCTTTCCAAGTACTCCAACTCCGACTGTGTGATTTATGTCGGCTGCGGGGAGCGTGGGAATGAGATGGCCGAAGTTTTGATGGATTTTCCTGCGCTCACGACTTTCATCGACGGGCGGTGGGACTCGATCATGAAGCGGACGTGTTTGGTGGCGAATACGTCGAATATGCCTGTGGCGGCGCGGGAGGCCTCCATTTACACCGGCATCACCCTCGCGGAGTATTACCGGGATATGGGCAAACACATCGCGATGATGGCGGATTCGACTTCGCGTTGGGCTGAGGCGCTGCGGGAGATCTCCGGTCGCCTCGCGGAGATGCCGGCAGACGGAGGGTACCCTGCGTATTTGGGCGCCCGCCTCGCCTCGTTTTACGAGCGCGCGGGGTGGGTCACCTGCATCGGCGGGCCGAAACGGCAGGGATCGGTGACCATTGTCGGCGCGGTCTCCCCGCCTGGGGGCGACTTTTCGGATCCGGTCACCTCCGCGACGCTGGGGATTGTGCAAGTTTTCTGGGGCCTCGAGAAGCGCCTGGCCCAGCGGAAGCACTTCCCGTCGATTAACTGGCTTATCTCGTATTCGAAATATCTTAATGCCCTGGAACCCTTCTTCAACACCTTCGACTCGGACTACATGCACCTGCGGGCGGTGATATCGGAGATCCTTCAGCGGGAGGAAGAACTGCATGAGATCGTCCAACTTGTGGGAAGGGATTCACTATCCGAGTCGGACAAGGTCATTCTTGAGGTCTCCAAGATTATTCGTGAGGAGTTCCTGCAGCAGAACGCTTTCACCGCTTATGATAAGTTCTGTCCACTTTACAAAACCTGCTGGATGCTGCGGAACATTGTCACCTTTTACGAGGAGGCACAACGTGTTATTTTGGAGTCGGCTCTGGATAATAAGATTACCTGGAATTACATTCGTGAGAAGATTCCGACCGTGTACACAAGACTCACTGAAATGAAGTTTCGGGATCCTTCTGAAGGAGAGTCAAACAATATTGAGTACTTTAAAAGACAAAACAAGGACATTTTGAATGCTTTTGCTTCACTTTTGCAGTAAAGCTGTAACAACGAAAAAGTGGAAAAGTTGCAATCAAAAGGGAAGGTGAAGATAACCATAAGGAGGACTAACCAACAATGTAATAATCATGAAGATTATTTTTCATTAGGCTTTGCCTTCACTTTTACACCCACACACACCCACATATAATATATATATATATATGTATTGAGTTGAGGATTCCAGGTCTTTCGGGATCCATTATTCCTTATTGATATAGGCTTTTTATTTCGTATACAGTTATCGTCATCTTTTTTGCATCAAAAAAATACCTTTATCTTCCTGATATTTCATAATGAATTTTCTTGAGGTATCGCCATAATTTTAGCCAAAACAAGGGGAGTGAAAGGAATATAATAAAGGATTTTAGTAGTGCAATTCTAGACTAGATTCCTTTCTCAACGTGTGTGTGAGTTGCAGTTTGAAGTGTGTAAACAATAAATAAGCTAGTGTTCTTTCGAATAAAAAGTGGATAGTACAACGTTAAAAATGCTTGTATGTGCATTTAACCATCTCATGTTCACTGTTTATTGAAGTTGACATTGAATTGCAAACATGGCAGGTTCATTAGAGGGAATCGATTAATATATAGGATTACATTTCTAGTGTTTTTCCTGTTTAACCTATTGAAAAATGTGGGAAGGATTCTCTGACAAATCTCACTTATTTGGACTAGTACTATATATTTGAATCCATTCGATTTACTAGTATTTATAGCATGCATGTGTTTTTCACTTTATTTTCCTCGAGACATATTTTACCATTTTTTTCCCCCTTGCATCTCTAACTAGGATTCTCACCGAGTAAGTGAGTTAGGGAACTCTTGAGCAACCCCATAAATCGGTTCGGTGCCTTGAATCTTCCCCCTCTTTCTCCACATAAAGAAAAAAAAATGCTTCGCAAGACTTGTGTGATCAGTGCCCCGTTCAAGAGTGTCTTGCGGCGACATAAGTTCCACCCTGAAGGGTTACCACTCTACAACGACATGTCTAAGCAGTGGCTTTGCCGTGAGGGCGAGCGATGGTGGGTTTTAGATGCCAGTGGGGTGCAGCTCCCGCACGTCGCGGCCGTCGCGAGTCAGTATATGACGGGACAGCATCGACCCGACTTCACCCCCGGCATGTTGACAGGCGATCACGTTATCATTATCAACATCAAAGATGTCGTCATGACGGGGGATTCGTGGATACGGGTACCGATCACATGGCAAACGGCTTACCCGGGTGGTAAGTACCGCGTTCGCCTTTCTGAGATGTATGAACGTGATCCATGCATGATCATGTGGTGGTTTCTAAAGGACGAGGTCAATAAACATTTTGTAAGGAAACTCAAAACCCGTGTCGCACCACTGGAAAAGGCATGGCTGTACGAAGATAGCATCCACCCGCATGCCGACAAAAATCCTCGCACCCTGATTATGAATGACTTGGAGTTAAAAGGGTGGAAATACAGGGATCCATTGTTTCAGCAACGCTGGAAACCAAATCAGTTTATGATATGATGGGATTTCCGTTTGCTTTTCTGTTTCTGGTGCGTACGTCCATGTGTGTGGGTTTGACCATAAGGGGGACACCTTTCCTGTTCTTTGGGAAATAGCGAGTCTTTTTGTTTTGCATTCTCTACACGGTTATTCCATGTGAAAGCGATCCTATAAAAATAAATTTGTATACATATTTTTAATATCATGTTTTATTTTTAATTTTACACACATTTTCTTTTGACCCTCTCATTTTTTTTTTCTCAACTATTTAGTGTATTAATTAAAACAATGTGGTTGTGATGCGCCTAAGCAGACTATGGCGAAGCGATGCGACCAACGATATTCAGCAGCTTCTCGATAAATGGAAGAAAATTTCAACAGCCTCGTCGTTTACAAACCATCCCGCCGACGATATCCTAAACTTACTGAAAGAGACAACCCAAATGACCGCCTCTTCCAGCCCGTCTTCTGCAAAGGTGACGCAATTCCCTACCCCTAGTGTACCAGCCCAGGTACTACTCGGGGAGTTGAAGAATTCGGTCTTGATTTGGAGGGCCCTCCGCCGGGGCCGGATTCCCTGGGAGGCGACCAGCGCCCTGATGCCCGTGCAGCTTGCCGTGCTGTCGGCCTATCAGCGGGCGTACGTCGAACAACGGAGTGAACGCCGTCCGTGGGGATTTTCCAGGGCCGTTTTGGACTCCTGGCGGATGGCGGATCCCGATCTGAGGGACGTCCTGGAGCGATTGCGGCGCTGCCATACGGTGGTGGGCTTCGCCCAGGAGGTCTCCGCGGCGCTGCGAGGCCGACCACACCTCCGCCAGGTCCTCCCAGTCCCTCCGAATGTTCTTCAACAGCTTTATCAATTGGGGATGCAATCGCCGTCCATCTCACGCGAATGCCATCCAATGGATACGCGCTCGTCCGCTCCCAATAACGCCTTGCTGGCTCTAAACCTCTGTAAACAACTCGCCCTTTCCACTCCTGAGCTCCATTCAACCGCCGTAAGGGAGCGGTTAGTGATGGATTATGCTCATTTACATGCTCATAGTGGGGAGTGGGACCAGGCCCTCTCGATTGTTCGATCAAGCAGCGTAGTTCGCCTTTCGACGAAGGTGAGCTTTGTGAAACATGCGCGTGATCGATCCCTCTGGGCGAGAGTGGATCTTACGGCTCGAGAGGCTCCTGAAGCTGTTATCGCAGCACCGCACTGGAGGCAGGCCCTTGAGGTTCTTAATCGCTTTGCAGATAACGATGATGTGCGATTGGACTTTCTCTCACGTTCTGATGTCATTGCAGGGTTGAGTGAATCTCCCTCGTGGAGTGAGTGCCTTTCTATTTTTTCGAAGATTACACCGGACAAGCAAACGTACGGAGCTTTACGGAAAAGCATTCTAGATCGGCTTCCGCGTAAAAACCCAGAGTTTATTGTTCAGATGGCACACGCACTAGCGCACGTTGGACCGCGGATGTACTCGGGGACATTTGCTCGTCGTCTAGAAATGTTGAAAAAGAAGTGCAGCTGGGCAGAAGCCATCGCGTTGGCCTGCGGCGCGAAATGCTATGATCTGGCTTCAGCTTTAACCCCACATTTGCTGATTCCTAATATATATAAATTACCTGCAGATTTGATCACCTATGAGAAGGATGTCTTGACACTTCTGCAAATGCGTTCTGGAGGAAAAATAACATCACCTGCTTGTGATACCATCACAAGCCCAAGTCAACCTGAGGTTGACGTAAATCAACTCACATATCCACAGCTCCTTGCACGTGCACTTTACGGGGATTGGCGTGGCATTTTACATTCACCAGTTGCGCTGTCAAATTCGCGATTGCGTTCACTTCTTGCGGCGAAACGCATATCTGAGGACAAACTAAACGATGTTGGTGAAGTCGAATGTCACTTATTTGAAAATGCTGACGTAACCCAACTCGTTCTTTCTTGCGCATCTGGGAAGAACCTTCAGTACTTCTTGAGAGTAATTCCATCTGCCATGGACGCGGCCCTCAGGAAGAAGTGTGCCTCTCTTTCAAGAGATGCCAAGGTGGTCTCCCCGTCTGACGCTTATAAGAATTTTTTAAGTTCTTCAACGAAGGTGGTTACAACTGAGGACTGCCATGCGTTTTGCGATTTGGTTGTGAATCATATACGTACTCAAGCCAGCCAAGGATCTTGTAGTCGTGAAACCCTCTTACTTCGGGAACTGGCGCGATGCTGCGCGCAAGGGCGAGTGCAGCTTGCCTCATCCGATACCTTCGGCCTTGCGTTGGCTTTTTTGAGGGCCTGCAGGAACCTGAAGTGTCGGCCAGAGTCAACCACCGCGTCCAAGGCGTTCACAATGATTCCTTCGCCAAAGTTGGATATCAACCTTCCCGCAATGATTGTAGGTGTGAATGCGCTAAATCTTTTGGGAAAATGCCAGACCGTGGCGAACGTTTATACTCGTTGGCGTCGCAAACAGTGCGAGAGGGTATTGCCAGATCCTCCGAGCAGGCAGCACGTGGAGACTCATCAGATGCCTGATATGAGGGAGCAGCTGGCGGACGTCTTTGCACGTATGGTGTACTACACTCCTTACCATCAACAGATCGGATGGGCACGCCGAATTTGGAGAGACCAGCGCAATAAATTTAGCATTTTACTTCAAGAGCTGTTAGTGGGTGACACCCGTGAAGTCTCAAGAATTCTTCAGGAAACGTCAACCCTTCTCAGTCGGGGCGAAAAGGATCACCTTAATACCGAAAGGCGTCTCTCGATTCACGCAAAAGAAGTTCTTATACTTGAAAAACGGAAGCTGTTGGGTGCGAGTTTCTGTATACTGCACACCGAATCAGCCCTGCATAATGTGGTTCGAGCTTGCGGAAAAAAACGTGCAGAACCTGGCGATATCGACGAACACGGGTTTCAGCGTCTGATAAAAGTTCTCCCTGGACAGGATGCGGCTGAGGCCATCCTTTGTCTACACGAAGAAAACTCAGAAACTGTCGAAGATCACTGGTTGGTTTCGATCATGGCAAGTCCTCACGTCTCCGCTGAACAGTTAGGGAGGCTTCGCGCCGCGCGACCGTACTCTGCAGTAGTCTCAAGCGCATTCAAGGTTGCCTCAGGATTATTGGAAAATAACCCCACTGGGGTTCTTAAAGGTCTGCTTAGATTGGTCATAATTTCAGAAAACTCCATTTTACAACATTTTTTATACGCAGCGCTTGCGAAGTTTATGCAACACATGTGTGAGAACGCAGAACTCGAGTGTGTCTTCAAAGCGGCTACCAACGTTGGGGAAAATCAGAAACTAGCCAGAGAGATTTACAATCGTTTGTTCGGAAGCGCAAGCCTCGTAAGGACTTTAAAACACGATCGCAATTCTCTTACAATGCTACTCAAGAATCCGGAAACCCTGAGTCCTTTGCTGCTTATGGGATACCTCCACCACGTTCTGAACCGTTCCTTGAAGTATCCCATTAAGGCGTCTTTTTCCTTTCACATGCTGCGAATGACCTCGACCAATACGCACGACTGGATGACGGCAATTTACTTTTTTAAGTGCATTCGATCGCCAAGAATGGAGGAGCGGTGTTTGGTTGTGTGGGCCTCTCAGGGCTCCCCAGACGCCACGCGTTATCTTGTTGGCTGCCGCCGTTTTCTTCAAGGCTGCCCGGAGCAGGTTGTGGTGTGGTGCGATGAGAAACTCAATCCATCTGAGAAATGGCAAGTATCGCTTCGCCTTTTCGAGGCTGTGGCGGCGAGGTCAGTTTCTGGGGAAGAACCTCCCATGAAGTCAGCCGAAGAAACGACGTGCTCTTCAGAGAAGGTCGACCATGGCGAAGCAAAACCAACTCATCCGGATGCGTCTGAGAGAATCCTTCAGGACCTTATTTCCAAATGGACTGATATCGATTGTGTGCGAGCACTAGAGCTTCTTCGACGTACTGGATTTGTGCGTTGCCAATCAAAGGGGAAGGGAGGGGACACAAAACCCGGACCACCACCGAGCGAGTATTATGAGGAGGTGTCTGATAATGGGAATGAGCTTCTTGTAGTTCGAATGATCCGAGCTCAGCAACAGCGATGTCTGATGTCATGAATTTCACTTAAAAATTTTGTTGTATGGGTAAAAAGAATACGCTGAGACTGATGATGATAGCGTATTCCTTTCCCCATATTTGACAGAATGGTACATTTTTTATTTTCTAAAAAACTTTTGTTTAGTAACAGCATTTTTGCAGCTTTGACTGGATCTCAACGGAGTTGCCTGTACGACTTTCCTTTTGTGGTTTCAAATCAAGCTGAAAAACAGAAGCCCCCCCCCTCCCTCACCCAACATAGTTATCGCCCAATTCCATCCTTTGGACTCTTTCTCAGCCTTTGATCTGCTTGACTGTCTGGCCAGTCCATCTTCGCACGATCGCTATCGATATGTGCGCGGCCTCTGACGATGACGTGGACGGCGTTGTGTTGCTCGGGTCGGGTGGTCGCAATGTTGTCCTCGGGGTCCCCACGCCCGCGCTTCACGCGCTCCTCCCCCCCG